AAAGCCATCCTGGATTCAAGTGGAGGGGAATTAGACCTCACCTCTTGATGAGAGGAATGTCAAACAATTACAGAGTCTTTTAAAAACGCCATGTCTTGCGGATTCCTTAAATGTGTTGAACATATTAAAATGTATTGTAACTTTCTCCCATAATTTAAATTTTAGTTAAGAATGTCCCAAATCAGCTTAATGTAGACTTTTACTACCCAAATGCCATGTCCAAAAATATTTGCCAAATGAGAGAGTTTTCAATTCAGCAAGTCTAAATTTTATTTCTGAGTTTTATGTACCTTGGTTAGCAACATGGCAGCCGGGAATGTGACTGTGTGTGGTAAGTGGAAATGGGCAGCTCCGACATCTGAACAAAGTCTTTCCAAAGTTTTGCCCACGGGCATCTCCTTTGTTTCCAATAAATCCAATAAAATGTCCTTAAGTGCCGAAGCCTCCTGATGAATAAGGCATGGTTGTTGGTAATTTTTTAACAATTTATAATAATTGCCATATTGTCTAGTTAAATTTGTTGTCCACACTTGCAATTTCCTTACAGTTTTTTTCAGTTTAAATAATATTCAATCAACAATATACTATTCCAACTAGGAGATTATATCTAGCCCAGTTGTGGGTGCAATAAAATTTAAGCAATGCTATTGGTCTGATTTCTTTTAACGAAAAAAATAAAAAAAGAAAGAAAGAAAAAAGATATAAAAAAATTTAAACAATGCAACAAATTCTCTATAAAAATTGTCTTGTCACTCATATCTGAGCCAACTAAAAGTGCTGGCAACTTGCAACACTGGTGCTTTCGTCAAGTTGAATCACAGACTCAATACCAGACTGTAATTGCTTTAAAGAATTGCCTCTTTTTGTTCCACAATAGCATAGATTTGATGAGATATTATGGTATACTAAAGGGTGTTATTTTTAATTTGTCAGCCAATTTGTCAGTTTTATCTTCAGAAATCATATATACCATTCCATACATCCTAGAAGAGTAATTCTTTTTTTTTTTTGAAAAGTCCATTCATAAAACTTTTATTCCACTTACATGAACTTAATACACGTGTTCTTAACAATTATGCTTGGATTTTCATGAAATCTCATAAGACATTTAAACAAAGCTAGCCATCATCTCAAATTATTTCCCTGTTAACTATTTTTTACAGCACATGCATGTTAGGCAAGTGTCAAAAAAAAAAACCACAAAAGCAAAAAACCTAAAAAAGTTATAATACATGGGTTTTTTGTTTTACTGCTGTGCTTGATATACACGCAGTAATGGATGTCAAGCAATTCATTTTACTGCATCTTTACTTTTACATTTGTTCTTAGGTTGCCTAAAACATTTAAATACAAATAAAATAGTGTAGCAAAATAATGTGAAGCAAACAGCAGTAACTTTACAAAAAATGGAATGTGAACCGTTTCTGCCCTTATCCAGAGTAAATTGGGTCACAATTTTGTTTAGAGGAACACTTTTGCAGCTGTAGTCAAAGGTGTGGACATTGAGATTTCTATAGATACACACGGTTTAACATGTAGTACTGGAAGAGTAATTCTTGGCAGCTGTGTGACCCATTTTCTTTTCTGCCACTTAATATACTGTTAAATAGACGATTATAAGGCTCTTTAATTAATAGTTGCTGACAACTTAGATATTGTTAATAAATTTATGTATTCTTTCCTTTGGAAACATTTCCTTGACTTATTGACAAGATATCATGTTGTTTTCCCAGGTGTGTTTTTTATTTTGAAGTTGCTTTCAATTATAAAAATTTTATTATCGATAATATGTTCAACAGTCTGCCATCTTTGTTAAGCCTTGCATGTTTTATAAAATCACATTTTAAATGTCTTCAACTAGGTCCGCCGTCATATATCCTGTTAGAATGCAACTAAAATAAAATAAAAAATTTTATCAGAGTCAACATTTTTCTCAACATGTCAGTTTGATACTTCAGATAGCAGCCTTGAATTTGTACTTCTGTTTACATTTCTGCTTTCTTCTAATCATAAAACAATCCAGTATAAGGAAATATATACTAATTCAATTAAAATGTTACAATAGTCACAAACTGGGAAAAATTGTAGAATGACTTCCTTTCTGAAAATATACTCCGACATTCATAAATGATACTCATTTGAGAACCTGACAATTTGCTGATCAGTTGCTGTGGTACTTCACAACTAACTGCACATTATGTCAATATACAACTAAAGTGTACAATGTTTACCTCCTGGTACAACATTGATCAAATTATGCCTCATATACAAGAAGATTTTTTTTTTTGAGACAGAGTCTTGCTTTGTTGCCCAGGCTAGAGTGAGGGCGTTGGCATTAGCCTAGCTCACAGCAACCACAAACTCCTGGGCTCAAGCAATCCTGCTCAGCCTCCCAAGTAGCTGGGTCTACAGGCATGCACCACCATGCCCGGCTAATTTTTTCTATATATATTAGTTGGCCGATTAATTTCTTTCTATTTATAGTAGAGACGGGGTCTCATTTTTGCTCAGGCTGGTTTTGAACTCCTGACCTCGAGCAATCCTCCTGCCTTGGCCTGTAATCCCAGAGTGCTAGGATTACAGGTGTGAGCACACCCGGCCTATACAAGAAGATTGAATGAGATGTCTAGAGACAGCTACATAATTTCTGGAGCCAAATGCAAAATTAAAACGTGGGGCTGGCTGGATGTGGAGGCTCACGCCTGTGATCCTGGCACTCTGAGAGGCTGAAGCCAGAGGATTGCTTGAGCTCAGGAGCTCCAGACCAGCCTGAGCAAGAGCAAGATCCTGTCTGTACTAAAAATAGAAAATTAGCCAAGCTTGGCGTCCAGCACCTGTAGTCCCCAGCTACTCAGGAGGCTGAGGCAGGAGGATCGCTTGAGCACAAAAGTTTGAGGTTGCTGTGAGCTAGGCTGACACCATGGCACTCTAGTCTGAGCAACAGAGCAAGACTCTGTCTCAAACAAAAAAAAAAAAAAAGAAAAAACTATTAAGAATTGCAAGACAGTGACCACAGGACATCAAACTTCAAGCCCAGGGCTCTTCTGAGTAGGGGGAATCTTGTACAACCGCACTGGCTGCACCTGCATGAAGCCACCTCTGGACATGCCAGGAAATAAAAGAACAAATGAGCCGCTCCTGGCCAGTGCGTCCTGTCTCACGCAGCCCGTCGTCATAGCTGCAGGATGAAGAACATGTGTCACACTCTCATATTCCTTTTCTTCCTTTCTGGTCATGCCCCACAAAGCATGTTTAGGGACTCGTGTCTCTGTAAACGCCTGTCCTTATAAGGTGGGAAGAGTCGCAAAAGGCAGCCTTGTACGGCAGCAAGAATATGCCCAGGAGACAGAAACCTTGGCTGTCTCCTCCAGTGTTCCATGTCTGGGCACTTCCTTTCTTTTCCCTGGGCCTCTGCTTCCTCATTATTAAATTCCTCGTGTTACAATATTTGCTTCCTTATTGTTAATTATTAATAAAGAGTTAAGCTGGGTGACCTCTGACAATCCGTCCAGCTCTGTTTCCGTGAGAAGGAAATAACACAAATAGGTGATTGGCAAAAGGCGTTTGGTCTCTTGACTGTTTAACCTCCATTTTTAATGGACTCATTGTGATCAGTGTAGTTTGATTCATCAAAGCCGTATCTGAGCTGTTTGTTCTGAGGTTGTCGTGGCATAGAAGCCAAAAGAAATTAGGCGTGAGTAATTTGGATGCGTGAAGGCCAAAAGGGCCCTCGTATCCTTAAGGCCTAGCAGCAGATGGGTTAATTCTATAATGCCAGATTTTAAAATAACAATAATTAATACCTGAGACAGGTCCTTTTATCTAAGGCGCTCAAAAGGCTTTGAGGTCATTCACCCACTAATTCGCCTGCCTCAAGCCATCAGGAGGTCAGGAGGAATCTCTGGAGAAGACAAGCACGCCAGAAACTGAAACATCACAGCAAGGAGGAATAAACTGACTCACTAGCGGGAAGGGGGTGGGGGTCGCTAAAATAGTTCTCTTGGAAGAATTACATGGAAAATCCTCCAGTTGTTCTACCGACAGCACTTTAACCATTCACTGGGCTCTTTGGATTCTCATGGAGGTTACATTTCATCATCTGGAAAATGTTTTTACCCCTCATGTGAGCTGTAGCCTCTACAGCTTCAGAAAGAGTACCGTCATGCCCAAAGCAAGTGAAGGCGGGCACTCTCAGCCCTAGAATTTTCTTCTCTCGGAGGACAAAATGTCTTGTTAAAGTTGAGCAGTCTCTAAAGATAGAGCACCACTGCAGAATGATTTTGTCAAGGGTTTAAGTTTCTGACTTATTTGCAGGTGGTTTCTATTAAAGTGCATCTGTTGAAAAACCACTCTGCTGAAAAGTACCTTCTGAAAGGTCTGGAATTTTATCATTAGAATTTCAGTGACTCAAACCGTCCATCATCAAGGAGATACTCCACCACAAGAGTTCAGACTCAACGGGGGCATAAAATGTGGATTTTATAGCTAAGCAGCTTTAAATCTAATCAAGGAAATGAGATTAATGAATAAAATAAATTGTGGCATTTCTTCTAATTCACTTACTTATATTGCTTATTGCTTAATATATTAATTAATTAGGCAGAAAATAGGATTTCTGTCATTTTGAACAGAACGGACCCTAAGCCTTGCAGGATCTGGGGCGGAAGGTGATCATGAGGGCTCGGATGACCAGGGAGGGCAGGAGAGTCAGAGGAGAGGAGATGAACTAGATCCTAGAGGGAAGAAAACTGTTTGGGTCAAAAACACTTTTGAATGAAGCAAACAGCAGTTGGGACAGGGTCAACGTCTAAGAGAAGGTGAGCAGATGGGAACTTGTTCCTTTGTGAGGCAGTGGGGAAATCATGCCAGCCAAACCGTAGGGCCTGGACACCTGAAAGAAATACAGGTGGACGTGAAAGATAGAGCCAGGTCACGGTGTGTGTTGAAACCAGCCTGAACGGGCACTGACTGGGGGTCTTCGGAAGTCCTCTGTCAAAATGTGAACATACAGGAGAAGAATCAAGGAGTTAATGGGACAGGGCAGGGGGACGTTGGGTACAGGCTGGACACTGCGCTGTGTGCTTAACTACATGTCACCAGAGGAGGAAAGGAACGTATTACTGCCGTATCAGCTGGAGACCTGCAATAGACAGTTCTTTTGTCTCGGGACCTAGGAAAGCCCTGAGGAATGAGACCCAGAGCAAGTGTGTTCTCTTGGGGGTGAGGAGGGACGGGACAGAGGGAGATGATAGCCAAAGCATTGGGAAATGCCAGGAATGGCTGGTCCAAGCAGGGGCCCACCCATGATGGGCAGCCAAGGCCTGAGGAAGGATTTTCAAAAGAAAGGAGAAGAGATTAGTGGAGAAGACAAATTTCCCCTAACTCACAATGTTGCCCACCACTGGCCATTTTAATGCATTTTATTGCCAATGGTAGGCGAAATCACCCTTCCTTATGGCCCAGTGAAACTCTCATTACCTGCACTTTGGTGAGCAGCTGCTTGCTTGAATCTTACAATTAAAATCAAGATGTGGGGAAGTCTCTGCAGATGGATTTTTTTAAAGAGTTAAGTCAGAAGAAAGATGAAGTGTCCTTGTGTGAGGCCGACTGCGGGCCTCCTGTCGCTCCCTGAACACACTGGGATATGCAGGAGGAAGCAGCCTTTCCTACGTTCACTCCCCCTTCGGGACCTCCCTGAGGCCAAGGTCCCTCTGGTCAGCAACAGAATGAAAAATCATCGCTCTCACCAAAGTAGAAAAGTGGCTGTGAAACTGGAATAGGTGTGTCTTTCGGTCCTTCCGGTTCTTTTTATAGGCACTGCAGGGACCTGAGTGAGGGCCTGCAGCTCTTCCGCCCATTCGGGGAGAGATTAAAGAAGCTGAGGTCGTCTCCTCCTTACTCATTGGCAGTCCCAACCCGGCCAGCACCACAGTCTCAGCTTCCAGAGTGGGCACGCAGAAGGTGAGTGGAAGTGAGGGGCCAGGCCCTCCTCGGCTGTTCACCGGGATGGCTGCACCATCTGGTTTGGGAATATTTGAAGGGAAATGGCGCTAGGGGTATTCAATCGCAAGTTATTTTTTTCCAAATGAATGTGGGGGATTTTTTTCTAGACCACCTCAATCAAGGCTTGGACTTTGGTGCTAAACTGTCCAAGGAGTTATTTATTTATTTATTTATTTTTGAGACAGAGTCTTGCTCTGTTGCCCAGGCTAGAGTGAGTGCCGTGGCATCAGCCTAGCTCACAGCAACCTCAAACTCCTGGGCTCAAGCAATCCTGCTGCCTCAGCCTCCCGAGTAGCTGAGACTACATGCATGTGCCACCATGCCCGGTTAATTTTTTCTATATATTTTTAGTTGCCCAATTAATTTCTTTCTATTTATAGTAGAGACGGGGTCTCACTCTTGCTCAGGCTTGTTTCAAACTCCTGACCTTGAGCGATCCACCCGCCTCAGCCTCCCAGAGTGCTAGTATTACAGGTGTGAGCCACCGTGCCTGGCCCCAGAAAGTTATTTAAAGGAAAAAGACAATTTTGTATAATTCTTTGATGAACAAATAGTAGGTGTTTAATTATAACCTGTTGCATTGGATTGACTTGAATGGAATTGAAAGAGTGAACAGTCGTTTAAATCACTGAGAGAAATCATCTGCCTGTCTCCTTCAAGCAGTGCCTCAGTGTCTAGAATGATCCATTAATATTGGCAACCCTCGTTCTAGTGCTTGATACAACCACAATCCTATCAATCATGCAAACATTGTCACATACTCCACTTTATGAAGAAGATTTTGTATTCAATTTTATTTTTTTTTTCTTTTTTCAAGTGATCTTGGGTAGTTTCAGTATTCAATTTTAAAAAGCCTTGGACACTGTGAAACAAAAATCCGTGAATTATCTGGAACCCCCAAATGAAGTCTGTTCTGCTTTTCCCAGCAGAAGGATGGAGCTAATATACTTTTGAGGGTTTTAAATTGACTTTTTCATTTCCTTTACTGACATCCTATATACAACAGTCATAAATTTGGGGTAATATATGTGATAGCGTTTCCCATCCCCTTAGACCATGTTTGTATATACCTCTGATTTTCCCCCTAGGGAAACTTTGCATTTAGATAAGTATCATTGGTCGAATAAAATGCAACTCGTACTCTCTCCAGTGACAGTTTTGGTAAAGCCATTTCTGTCGTATGCTCAGGTGTCTTCATTTCAGAATGAGAGACATCATGGTGCCCTGGATGAGACTATCCAACAGGCACTCTTGTGCGTGGATGTAAAGTCCTAAGTTTGTCTCATCTTTTTTCCGCAGGGGGTCAGAAGACAATTCTCGTGAAGTCCACCTATAAGTCACCATGTATGAGGACTGCGTGAAGTCCACAGAAGACTATTTTCTCTTCTGTGACAATGAGGGGCCATGGGGCATCATTCTGGAGTCCCTGGCAATACTTGGCATAGTGGTTACGATAATGCTACTCTTGGCATTTCTCTTCCTCATGAGAAAGGTGCAAGACTGCAGCCAGTGGAATGTGCTCCCCACCCAGTTCCTCTTTCTCCTCAGCGTGCTGGGGCTCTTTGGACTTGCTTTTGCCTTCATCATCCCGCTCAATGAACAAACCGCCCCCGTGCGCTACTTTCTCTTTGGGGTTCTCTTTGCGCTCTGCTTCTCATGCCTCTTGGCTCACGCCTCCAACCTGGTGAAGCTGGTCCGGGGCCGAGTCTCCTTCTGCTGGACGACAATTCTGTGCATTGCCATCGGCTGCAGTCTGTTGCAGATAATTATTGCCATTGAGTACGTGACCCTCATCATGACCAGGGGTATGAGGTTTGTGAACATGACACCCTGCCAGCTCAATGTGGACTTTGTCGTACTCCTGGTCTACGTCCTCTTGCTGATGGCCCTCACATTCTTCGTCTCCAAAGCCACCTTCTGTGGCCCATGTGAGAACTGGAAGCAGCATGGAAGGCTCATCTTCGTCACTGTGCTCTTCTCCATCATTATCTGGGTGGTGTGGATCTCCCTGCTGCTGAGAGGCAACCCACAGCTCCCGTGCCAGCCCCAGTGCCAACCCCAGTGCCCGACCCAGTGGGACGACCTGGTCATCTGCATTGCCCTGGTCACCAACGCATGGGTTTTCCTGCTGCTGTACATCATTCCTGAGCTCTGCATTCTCTACAGATCGTGCAGGCAGGAATGCCCTCTGCCAGGCAACGCCTGCCCTGTCCAAACCTACCAGCGCAGCTTCTGCGTGGAGAACCAGGAGCCCTCAAGAGGTACTTTCCTGGGAGATTCAGGAAGCAGGGAAACCTGGGGTGGGACAGGGGGAGAAACAGAGAAGTAGGGCAACTGGATGAACCAAAAGAGAACAAAAAGGGAATCATCAAATTTTTGGTGGGTGGCTTCATAGTTTAGGCATGGAGATGACTCCCAGAAGCAAGGTTAAATTTTCATGAAAAATTCAGTTTTTCCAAAACATAGAGCTTTATGGGGCGAGACCAAGGCAGAAATGAACCAAAGGCCCTAAATAAAGAGGGTGTGTCTCTGAGTGCTCATGCTGGGTAAAGAAAGGCATCCATATCCTTCAAAAGTGGAGAAATAAAAAGTAAAATCAAAAGAAAGGCATCCACTATAAAATGAGTTAACCAGCCCCAAATTAGGCTTAGACCATGCAATTGCATGACATCTAATGCCAAGTCCAAACGTGTTGGCCATTAAGTACAAAAGTCAATCCTGGCAACACTGATTGACATTTTTAAAATTTAAGTCTCAAAGCTAATTTGCCCAAACATAATCTTAAGATTCACCACCTCATTAAAGTCATAAAGCCTAATAGCTTCTGCATTTCTACTTTTCCAACCATTTACTGTTTAAAATCCTTCATGGTTTACAAAAAGCAACAGGAAGGGCCATTACATCAGAATTCTGAGTAAGGCCTCAGATGTGTGATCATGAGCAGAGATAAAGTGACTTGCTTATGTGACATTTTCATAATAATTTCTGGGTCATGTTTTTATCCAAGCCACCTGACTATACTTTGTTAAGGAATAAAATATATTATCCATGACCACAAGGATGCTTGGACCCCAACAATCTGGGAGAAATAGAACTAATTTCAGTTATCTGGAAATATGTCACAACTCATTCATTCCTTTTCCGAAACATCTGGCCTATTATTCATGACCCAATATCCTAGTTTTACATCAATTTTCGTGTCTTAATAGGCATCTGATTTCTCGCATCTTATTTCTAATCCGTAATGATTATGTTATTTTATATACTGCATAGCACACATAATGTTCACTAAGCTCAAAAAAAAATTAATATAAGCTTTTCTTTTAAGTACATACACTTTCTTGAGCTGTAATCTATGGCTAATTGCACATTCAAATTAAACTCTGTTCAGATAAATACATCCATTAATTCTTTTCAGTTCAGTTGACCAAGAGTTGGAAATTGACATTATACATCCTTCCTATAAAAGTTTTTCATTGCTTGTTGATGATGCGTAATCATATCTTTGAGGTTTGTGGCAAAATTGCAGAGTCAATCTTTCTTGAAAATACTTCTCATAGTTTTTACCCAAAGATAAGATAAAACTTTTTGTGTTTTTGTTGTGATCGTATGTTTCCAGGAAACAAAAATCAGAAAGAAAGAAATTCTTAGAGTTTCACAATAGCCCAAAATGCACAGGGACTTGTAAGGTCAATATTCCATATCCCAAAAATATTAGGCAAGTGTTTCAAGTGTTCTAAGGAGCTGTCTTACTTAAAGGGCAAGGGCTTGCAAAACTACAGTGTTTCTTGATATGGCTAACGCTACCCTACTACTCAAGCAGGGTTAGAAAATCAATTTCTGAGCAGGAAGTGTTCTGCCGGTGATAGTCATTGCTAATGTAGTTTGATATCATGTGAAAAAAAAAATCAATAGTGCAGTACAGAACACATAGATTGTGCTCCAAGATTGGGCAGAATAACCAGAAACTTAAGCTCAAAGAAAAGAATCAGAATTTAGGTCACCTGGAAAAAATACAAATACTGAAATTTAGAAGAATGATTAAAACTCAACAAAAAGTATAGAATTCCACCAGCTAGGAAAAACATACAAATAGATACAAAATAGGGAACAGCCAGGCAAGTATAAGAACAATAACTTGAAAAATACTAAGAGTCTTTGTAGGTTGTGACCCGACAGTAGGAAAGCGGCTTCCCACTGTCTTTGTTTTTGTTTGTTCAAGAGACAGTTGTGGTGCTGCATAAACAGATGTGTGGTCAGCAAGAACAACCGTGCTGTTGTCCTCAGCATCGGTCAGTCTTTGGCGAGAACACCCATTCCAGGTCCGGTCCACTAATGAGATGTGTGGGAAGCTTGGGGAAGGGTCCACAGAGAACCACAAAGATGAGTAAAGGGCTGTAACATCAGTCCCATGTGGAAAGGATAAGGCAACCAGACTGCAAGGGTTATTCTTAAACTTCATGTGCCTTTCTCAGAGATCGTCCAAGTTCTCTCTCTTGAAACTCTGTACCAAGACACAACATTTTGTCTGAGTCCCTAAGGCATGCATTTGTCGCGTGACTCTCCTGACTAACGCTGCTTGTAGCTGTGACTCCAGTCAAGTAATTACTCGGTTTACCGCTGGGGTGGGAGACCAGAATTATTCATCTGAAAGGAGAGTATGACAAGGGGTATTAGCAGAGAATTTCATGAGTGTGAAGCCCTCTCTGGAGGAAGCTGTTGGGTTGTTTTCTATCTTCAGCTAACGACAATTTGACTGGAAATGGACTCCAACAGAGGCA